CTATATAAATGCATGCTTTATTTGATTTATGTACTTATTTTAAGGTCATGAAAAAGTTTTAATTCAGCTGAAATCTGCTTTTTTAGAATAGGCTTGGTGCAGATGTGTGGGCATGAAGGAATGGTACTTTGGTGGGCTTGTAGGAGGAAAAAAATTTGGGTTAGTGGCTACATTGTGCTCATTTTCACTCCAGAGAACTCCAGAGAAGTCCAGAGAACTGGTAAGAAGGCAGGAGTGTGGAATCTGCACAATTGCAGAAATTAAAAACCTATTTCACCCTCCTTATCTACTGGCAGATTCATGATTTTGGAATTCAAAAATCAAACTGTTGAGTCTAGAGGTTAAGGATCGTGTTTTCAAACAAACTCCTGAACGTTAGGTGGAAGCTGTAACTCTTGTTTATACGAACTTTGCCGTAATAATTACAGGTGAGGGGAGACTATGCTTATTAGATTACGTCAAATATTGCCATCCCATATATATTTTACCGAAAATGCATTTAAAATTGGTCAGAAGGATTATGCTTTATAAACCGGTTAGTTTGAGGATTGTGAATCAGAGGCTGCTGCTGATTTTGCTGCTTCTCTGACTTCCGAATCCTTCTCTCAACTTGCACAAAGCCAGGAGAGATTTATCTCTACACTTTGGGGTTGATTTATTAAAGCTGGACAGTGCAAAATCTGGTGCAGCTGTACTTGGCAGCCAATCAGCTTCTAACTTCAACTTGTTCAGTTAAGGTTTGACAAAAAGACTGGAAGCTAATTGGTTTCTATGCAGAGATGCACCAGATTATGCACTCTCTAGTTTTAGTAAATCAGCCCCTATACCTCATTAACTAGCTCTGATACCAAACTTTTGTCTAGTTAGCTCTTTGAATCACAAGACAAAAATGGAAGATTTTTAGCTAACCTGGTGGCTGAACCAAGTTTCCAAAAGGTATTCCCTGAAATGGGTTATCTACATGACTTCTAACCTGGAGTGCATTCTACAGGAATTCCACAATGATTATAATTTTTTGTATAGCCAGCTTTCCTCAGAGTTGTGGATTTTGTCCTTGCCTTCCCTGTAAGTGGCTGAGGCCAATGCTTTAGAGGCTGAGCTATCCGTTACATGCGATGTACCCGGATGACCTAGTACTCTCTCAGAGATCTGAAACCATTGCTCAGGGAGGTTGTTAGGCCCTACTAACTCCTATTTTTTCAGATACCTGCATATCAATCTCAGTTTGGGGTGTCCGAACTAGATCTCTCTCCTACCAGGATTGACGGAAGCGTAGGCAGGACAGAACACACAAAGATGGTAAACACACAAAGCTTTATTGAACTATGGAAGGCACTCAATCAGGGTAGGAAGGTAGTGTCCAGGTACCAAAAAAGGGGAAGAGAGGGGAGGAGCCCAAAATAATTGTAATCCGGCCCACGATAGGGCAATCTAGGTAGCGATGGCCCGAGCACTCAGGGGGGCAGTCCAGGTAGCTACGATACTCCAGAGACGTAATAGACCATCTGAGCAAGTATTAATCCCGGCACACAATAAGGGCAGTTCAGGCAGCACTGATCCCGACACTCAATGGGGCAGTTCAGGTAGCAGTAATCTGGGCACACAATAGGGGCAGTTCAGGTAAGGGTAATCTGGGCACACAATAGGGGCAGTTCAGGTAAGGGTAATCTGGGCACACAATAGGGGCAGTTCAGGTAAGGGTAATCTGGGCACACAATAGGGGCAGTTCAGGTAAGGGTAATCTGGGCACACAATAGGGGCAGTTCAGGCAAGGGTAATATGGGCACACAATAGGGGCAGTTCAGGCAAGGGTAATATGGGCACACAATAGGGGCAGTTCAGGCAAGGGTAATCTGGGCACACAATAGGGGCAGTTCAGGCAAGGGTAATCTGGGCACACAATAGGGGCAGTTCAGGCAAGGGTAATCTGGGCACACAATAGGGGCAGTTCAGGCAAGGGTAATATGGGCACACAATAGGGGCAGTTCAGGCAAGGGTAATCTGGGCACACAATAGGGGCAGTTCAGGCAAGGGTAATCTGGGCACACAATAGGGGCAGTTCAGGCAAGGGTAATCTGGGCAATCACGGTAGGCGCTCAGCAGCAGGCGGTTTCCAGGGACACTCGATCAGCAGACAGGGGGTAGCTTTCCAGGGACAAAGCGGTCAGCAGACAGGGACAGCTTTCCAGGGACAAAGCGGTCTGCAGACAGGGATCCTCATGGGGCTCAGCTTTTCAGGGGACAACAGGGCTCACGGGGACAACCTCAGCAGGCTCAAGGGTCACTTCAGCTTTCCAGGGGCAGGCTCACGGGGGCTCTTGGCTGTGGGGTCTGACCTCAGCTCAGGCCTCACACAGCTTTCCAGGGACAACAGCAGTCTCAGGGGGACTCTTTGGGGTCTTGGCTGTGGGGTCTGACCTCTGCTCAGACCTCACACAGCTTTCCAGGGACAAGAGCAGGCTCACGGGTACTCAGCAGGGTCTTGGCTGTGGGGGTCTAACCTCAGCTTGGACCTCACACAGCTTTCCAGGGACAAGCGGTCAGCAGACAGGATTCAGCTCTCCAGGGACAACAGCAGGCTCACGGGGACTCAGCGGGGTCTTGGCTGTGGGGTCTGACCTCAGCTCAGACCTCCCAACAGCTGTTCTCTCTCTCTCTCGTGCAGGGGACCAACACAGCGGTCAGCTTGTCAGGGACACAGCAGGCTTGCAGGGGCTCGGCAGGGTCTTGGCTGTGGGGTCTGGCCTCAGCTCAGACTCCGCACAGTACCCTGTTCCAAGCGGGGAACGAGACCACACACAAAACTGGGTCTCGCTCCGGCCTTCTTAAGCCGGCGCAGGACGCTTCCCGGTTGCCTCGGCAACGGATGGCCCAGCGTCACGTTGCCTGGGCAACGAGGCATGCCCCCTGACTCTGACCGCACTTTCGAGAGCGCGACCTTTGTCTCTGGTGGGCACAGAGCGTGCGAAGCCTCGTGCCTGCGCTGCACCTGCCGGTGGGATGCGCGGAGACACCTCAGCGGCCTGCGCTGGGGATTCCTGGTGGGGGGGCCCGAGAGGTGCTACCCGCACCACAGGGGGAGTTTCCTCCCATCCTACACAGCCTTTAATGTAGGCTGCGCAGGATGTGAGGAATCTGCAAGGGGGGAGGGAGGAGTGGATCAAAGGGAGAGGGAGCAGAGGGACAGCAGGCAAGGGGGAGGGGGTGGACCGTGACAGATTCCATAACTAAACCCTTGTCCAATATTTACAAGGCCTTGTTGCCTTCTATACATTATGGTCTGGAACAGTTGAATTCTAAATGGCTGGTGTAGGTGCTGGAACCGGATGGAGGGGACTAGGAAGACGTGGGAATATCCTTTTCTCCAGTTGGTTTCTGCCAGGGACAGGTTGATACACTTTAAAATACTGCATGGAATTAACCTCACACCATGGAGATTACATAAAATATATCCTACCATTTCCCCTTATTGCTTGAAGTGTATGGGTGATTTGTCTGACTACCTGCACATGTTATGGCCTGGCCCCACATACAGGGATTTTGATCTGAACTCCTCCACTTTGTTTGGTCTTACTCCAAATTCCAATGTAGGTAGATATGTCTACTTGGCTTAGTGGAAGCATTGGTCTCTGCTAGAGCAATCAAGACCTTCCTGGGTCTTCTTTTATTTTGTGCTAGAATATCAAATGTGTTAAAGTGGAAATCAATGTGTCCCCCACTATAGGTTTCTGGAAATCCCTGGTAAATTCTGTAATTCCCCTTTACAAGCCAATATATCAATCCCCCAGTTGTCCTAAGAAGTTTATTAAAGTGTTGGATGTCTAGATCAGTATTTCTCAACCTATTTTCAGTCAAGGCACCATTTCAAATTTTGCCCAAGCTCGAGGCACCCAGTACAAAATGTAAAAAACTAAACTAATAGTTTTACAGAATGCAGTAACATCTGCACATGTGAGACACCCAGCGTTAGAGGTGATTTATTCTTCAAAGCAAATACACCTTTGCACACTGGTACTGACTAGTATACCATTGTTTCTCTGTCTCACTTAGCTAATGTGACCCCAGTGCTGACCGACAGGGGCAGGGGAGGGTCAAACAAGGATGCTGTGCAGGTGCCCGATGTCCTTCTCATCAACTGAAGACATCATTTTTTTTTAAGGTTATCTGCAGCTAGAAAGTTGTAATGGTGCACAATGAAAACCTGTGGCTTTACGTAGCTAAAAGGCAGGCTTGATCCACCTACTGGCTTGTATACAATTTTTGGGCAATTTTTAGGCATTTTGCCAAGGCACCCCTGAAGAAACCTGAAAGCACCTTGGTTGAAAAAGGCTGGTCTAGATTAATTTAAATTCCATTAATGCATCCTATACTGGGTCTACCTCCAACTAAGGGGTAGCACTATTAACGGCGACTTTTTAGTAACTGTGGAAAACAAGGGATATGGTTATATGTGCTGTTTGACTCACGTTTTGATAGTTATGTAGACTGTAATCTCTTATGTGGTCAATGAGGATCTGATGGACCATGTAAACTTTCTTCTGACCATTAGTTTTTTTTTTGGTGGACCTGAGCATGCCCTGGTTTGGATACTTATGCAAACTGTGTTTTGTTTTGTTTAGTTTTTATTGTATAGTGCCTTGAGCCAGGGTATGCCTAATTGGCTCTGTTTACACTCTTAATATTGAAAAAGTCAATAAAAATAATTTTAAAAAATATACATAGGTATACACAGCAATATATACAGTACTTGTAGATACTCTATTAGACTATAACAATATTGTGCATGTACCACACTTACAACCCTTCTTTTTCTCCTGATATTTCACGGCTGGGTAAGCTTTATCAGGACAGTGCAGGTGTGCAATACAAAGTGATTCAAGGGTTTAAATTGTCTTTACTAGTATTTTAATGTTCCTCAAATGAATTAGCAGTTTGATTGTTCTTCTCTGAGGTTCATTCTGTTTAATATCTGTCACCTTATTTCTTGGTTCTGTTTACAGTAAATCAAAATGTTCCTGGTTGTCGGTGAGAGCGGATATAGGGAGCCGCTGGACCTGGCTTCAGGCTAAGATCTCAGAACTGGAGTACCAAATCCAGCAACTAGGTCATCTTCAGAGTCAGCTACGAAACCAGAAGGTATTATATGTTTATCATGAGCTAGTTATGTGTTCTGTTATAATTGTATAATGGCAGAACTAATAAAGTGGCACTGACCACTTCAATACTAGACACTTTTGCCCCTTTCCTACCCAGGCCAATTTCCAGCTTTCAGCACTGTCACACTTTGAATGCCATCCATTATTCACAGTCATTCATTGAGTACTATTGTGAGAGCTGTAATTGACCCTGTCTGGTCACAGTGATCACATGGTACAATCGGTGATAATCAGAATAGTACACAAAAAATGCCTATGAATGAAAGCCACTCATTGTGTACAAATGTCATGTCATCACTGTGATTGCTCACAGCGGTCACATGGTACTGGGACTGGCTTGGTACACTGATCTGTCATCCACTGTGTCCTGTGGTGACAGATCGTGCAGCTGTGTAGCCGCTAGGTGACTGGGAGGACGTCATATGACACCCAGCCAGGATTGGAGAGTTCTTTCTTGGCTGTCATTTGCCAATAGGTTGGGCGGGAAGTGGTTAAACCCAGAAACGTTTTATATATATAAGCTTCTTCATAGTGTGATATGTGTTTATATTATATTTTCCCTTTTTTTTTACCTGGCAATCTGGCCAGTGTCAGTTTTTTTTTTTTTTTGTTTTCAACTTTCTTTCACAGATCAAGCTGTCCAGCAAAAGTGGCAATTAGAGGGTGAAGACAAACCATTTAACACTTACTTAATGCATTTTTTTAGAATGCATTAAGGTAGTAAAACGCTTAGCCTTTAGAACCACTTTAAAATGATCATTTTTTAAATTCATTTATGTATAACCTTTATCCAAAAAGGAAAAAAACTATGCTGTAACTGCTTACATTGTGTTAACTGGAGTTTTGCTTTAATTCCCTAGTCCAGTCCATCTAAATCTGCTAGCTCATCTAACACCACCCTCTCCCCAGATTAACAATGCTGCTGTCCAAAGGTGTTTCCATTGCTCCTCCATCCAGAGTGGAGACACCCTAAAACAGGAAGTGTGTTACTGGCTAGATTACCAGGTAAAAATAACGAAAGGAAAAAAAATGTAAAAAATAGACCAATGCAGCCATAATATTTAAGAATGGGTAAGCTGAAATCTATTACATTTTTGTGTTTCTGTTTAATGCTGACTTCTGAAAGCTATTGGGAAGCTGTACACCACAGTATGTCAGCCCCACATCAAATGAGCACTTTTTCCAGCCTTACTCGGAAATTGCTTCTGCTGTTCGATTGTTTTCCAAGTACAAAGGCTGGCTTATAGAGAACAAAAAAAGTGGACCTGTTGGTTCCGTGTATAATTCAATGCTATAGTCACGATTTATAAAAACTGGGGCAGAAGAAAGCTTTGTGACCACAGCAGTAACAATGCAAGGAGAAAATACAGCAAGGAATCCTTTTTTTCTTCTTAATTGCTTTATTATTGCACTAGTTTTCATCAATAGGTGTACCATGAAATCATCTACAGTGCTTTTTTTTTTTTTTTTTTTTAAGCACAAGTAAGAATCCTTAGATGGTAGCAGTACGCAAGAACTTTACTTAAAGCTGAAGCTTCAGGAAAAGTAAAAATGATTTCTTGCAGTGGGGCAGCCCCACACTGCAGGATTTAGGTGCTTGTTTAGGTCTGTGGAACAAGAAAAGCACTTATACTTATTCCTGCACTCCCCCACAAGCTCTCTCTTTACAGCTAGACTGTTCCTTGCATCCTCTTCTCTGGCCAGCGCAGATTCCCTGACAACACCATGACCAATGCAGGGTCCCTAGCCTGTAGTCAGGTTTTAGATGTTTCTCTGTACTCGCATACGAGAACTATGGGTCACAGGCAGACATTTTTTTTATCTTACTGAAGGTCATATATATTTGTTGTGTCTGTGCAGCTGTGCAAGAAGTAGGCCAGTGTCAAAGGCACACTAGTACCATCTCCTTCATCCTCCTACAGTGACTTGCTTCCTTTGCTTCTTTTACTTGCTCTGTTTTCTGGCAATCTCCAAATTGGTGTGTTCTAAATTGGCATAGGTAGGTTGATTTCCACTAATGTTTCAGCATTTTGCACACATTTTTCATAGATTGAAAGTGGAATAGTATTTAGTGCTGATTATTTGCTCCCTACCCCAGCAGTGCCATATCCGACCTTTTTTTTTTAGAATTTTGCAGTTAATAAAGGCTAATAAGGCAGCTATGCTAGAAAGTCAAGAGTGGCATGGCAAATGACATGAGTAGAAAGCTCTCCTTCATGTTGAGCCCTGAGCAGGTTGACATGTCTTCTCTATGTCCTAGCCTGTACATTCTCATCAGTCCCTGCCCTCAAGAAGCTTAAACTATAAGGTCCCTAAACTCACATTCTTGCATACACATACTAGGGCCAATTAACATACCAGCATGTCTTTAGAATGTGGGAGGAAACCCATGCAGGCACAGGGAGAACATGCAAGCTCCATGCAGGTAGTGTTGTGGTTGGGATTTTAACCGTCGACCCAAGTAATTCTAGGCAGAAGCGCGTTGCTTGATTATCATCTGGATCTAAATGTTAAAGATCAAGCAACTGTTATATATGAAGGGTGACTTAATCAAGTGACCATCTCATGCTGACTTGCTTTCCAGGCTTGTTTTCTTTAGTATCATATTGGTAGGATGCGTAGCCTAGACGTTTGAGAAACTCTGAAACAGGTGCTTAATTAAGCCACCTCTACATATAATGAACATGTTGCAGATATTGAATGTGTGATGTAGGAATGCCTGAAATTGCTATGCTTTCATTTTACTAGATTACTTCTACAGAAACTATAGTTAATTACTTCCTTTTTTAAAATGTCTGGAAATGTAGGTGGCCTCCTTGGGAACAATTATGTAAAGTGTTTTTGCTTACCTTGTGTCAGCATGAGATTGACCATGCAAGTTTTCTACATCAAATTTTCAAAACACCATTGAGACTACATCACTTCACACCCACCTCCCCATCCAAGTGCTGGAGATATCCACATGAGCCATATCTTCCTAAACAATGAAATGAAAAAAGGGAAAAAAATATGTAAAGTGTTTGATGGATTGCTGGTTTTATATCTGTATTTTAGGGAACGCTGCTGTTTGAGGAACCCTCAAATTCTATTATCCAAAAGAAAGAGCATCTGCCAGAGCCAAGCATTTCTTTGAGGCCTGCAGAGAGGGTAGCAACACCTCCAGAAGATAGAAATCTATCTTCCACCAAGGATTTAGAAATGTCTCCAAGCAGCCCAACTATGCTCCTGAGAAACATTGAAAAGCAGGTAAACTATCACAATAAGGCCAACAAACCTCTATGATGGGAGGATTTTATCCAGCTACATGACTGCACTGCACTGAATCATGAAGGTACTTTGCTATCTTGTTGGAGAACACTTAAGACAGAATTTTAGTAAGATGACTTTAATCATGATGAATTTAACATGCTAGTTGCTCTGAACGTTTTTGATCTAATGGAAAGGATTAAGGCCGGTTTACACCACATGAATTATACAGGAACGCACAATGGGATAAAATCACACCACACCAAAAGTAGTACATGCATTACTTTTTAAAATGCACTGCAAATGGATTGCATGGTATAAAAGTACCATGTGATCATGTGCGGGCAAATGCACTGCATTAGCAACCTGTGTTTGGGGTGTCTTCACTTTGTATTGACACCCGCTGCAGATCGCAAATAAAGTGCGTTTTACATCTGGTGTGAATTGCACAGGACCGCACAGCGCATTCCTGTGTAATTCATGTGCGGGCGTTGTGTGAATTGGTCTCGAAAGTACTGCTGCTTTCAATAATGAAATGTTTAAAGCGGAGCTTCACCCAAAAGGGAAGATCCGCTTTAACGCATCATCCCCCGCTCCCTGTTAAGGATTGGCACCTTTTGGGGAGCTAGAACCCGAATTTGACACGTAGCCGCTCCCACTTCTGCTGGGATCGCCTAAGGCAGAAGTTGTCATCCCTCCCTCCCCCTTCCCATAGTATTCTAAGACACGTGACAGGTCCCAGAAGACTACGGGACCATTCACAAAGCGCTGCGCTTCTCGCACATGTGCAGTGGGCACCCGGATGGGAAGCCGCAAACTGTCACAGCTGGGTGCCCACAGTGAAGATGTCGGGGAGAGAAGACGGCCAGTGAAACCAGCGGTGGTGAGGATACCGCTGGATCGTGGGACAGGTGAGTGTCTGTATTTTGAAAGTCAGTAGCTACAGTTTTTGTTTGGTCTAAACTGTTTTTTTGGATTTAGTAATTCATACTTTATTGATAAAGATTACTGCCCAAGCAATATTTTTTTATCCTATAAGTAGAAAACAGAGTAAGCGAGCGCTAAAAACCGTAAGCAGCCATTGCACCAAAAAGGCAACCAAAACAACCTCCAAGGTAATCAAAATCAGTAAAGGTACAGCGCTAAAACCAAAAAGGAATCAATTTGCAATCCTGTGTATATATCCGTATGAATGCACAAATCACATATAGGTGGTATATAAAGTGACAAAGTGCAAATATAGAGCTAATAAATTATATACATATCAAGGTGCTAATAAGGTGACAATAGTGAGCACTTGATGGTGCTGAATGTCTAATTCAAATGCATAATCATGGGAATGTTCATAAAGTGCTAATCGTGAAGATCCATCCAAAAGATCTCAGGTAAGTGCTCCGTATACTCAACGATTATCCAGGTGATGTGCCTTGAATATGTTAAGATTACGCACTCACCAGATGCGTAATCATAATACGCATTTGTATATATGGTGTAGTCTGCCGGAGGTCCCCTTAAGGATGTAAACAGCCTGGTCTGGTCAGAGAGAGATATCCCCTTCCCCTGGGTAGTCTGCAGCACCTCAAGCTGTCCTCCAGAATGGGCTCTGTATTGGTATCAGCTCATAAAGAGCCAAAAAGAGGGAAGCCCATAGTGCAGTATTCCAAAGCATAATTTATTCAGGTAACACAGTAAAGTAAAAAGCACTGACCATATGCGATTCCAAAATGGCCGCCAAGGAAAGATGGAAAAATCTCCAAAAGGCATCAAATTACAGATTAGACATTCCTATAATATGTCAACAAAAGTTAGATTTTATTTCGATCATTTACACTTTCAAAATAACAGAAAACATAAAAATGGCATCTGCAAAAGTTTGGGCACCCTGCAGAGTTGATATCTTGTACTGCCCCCTTTGGCAAGTATCACAGCTTGTAAATGCTTTTTGTAGCCAGCCAAGAGTCTTTCAATTCTTGTTTGAGGTATCTTTGCCCATTGTTCCTTACAAAAGTCTTCCAGTTCTTTGAGATTTCTGGGCTGTCTGTCACGCACTGCTCTTTTAAGGTCTATCCAGAGATTTTCAATTATGTTGAGGTCAGGAGATTGTGAAGGCCATGGCAAAACCTTCAGTTTACGCCTCTTGATGTAATCCCCCGTGGATTTTGAGGTGTGTTTAGGATCATTATCCATTTGTAGAAGCCATCTTCTCTTTAACTTCAGCTTTTTCACAGATGGCATCAAGTTACCATCCAAAATTTGCTGAAATTTTATTGAATCCATTTTTCCTTCTACTCGTGAGATATTCCCTGTGCCACTGGCTGCAACACAACCCCAAAGCATGATTGATCCAACCCCATGCTTAACAGTTGGACAGAGGTTCTTTTCATTAAATTCTGTGCCCCTTCTTCTCCAAACGTACATTTGCTCATTCCGGCCAAAACGTTCAATTTTAACCTCATCGGTCCACAGAACTTGTTTCCAAAATGCATCAGGCTTGTCTATATGTTCATTTGCAAAGTTCAAACGATGATTTTTGTGGTGAGAATGTAGAAGAGGTTTTCTTCTGATGACTCTTCCATGAAGACCATATTTGTACAAGTATCTCTTTATAGTGGAATAGTGTACCACAACTCCAGTGTCTGCCAGATCTTTCTGGAGGGATCGTGCAGTCAAACGTGGGTTTTGAATTGTTTTTCTTACAATCCTGCGAGCTGTTCTGTCTGATATTTTTCTTGGTCTTCCAGATCTTGCTTTAACTTTCACTGTTCCTGATGACTGCCATTTCTTAATTACATTCCGAACAGAGGATATTGACATCTGAAAACACTTTGCTATCTTCTTATAGCCTTCTCCAGCTTTGTGAGCGTCAACTATTTTCAGTTTCAGTTTTCTGGACAACTGCTTAGAAGAACCCATGGTGCTGATTGTTGGGGCAAGGTCAGATGAGTCTGGGCATTTAAAACCTTTTGAGATTGACATCACCTGGTCTTCCCAGACGATGATTGAGAACAATCCATGACACTGGTAGGTCTCAGGTTGGCAAAGGGGGTAGTGCATGCTATAAATTCTGCAGGGTGCCCAAACTTTTGCAGACGCCATTTTTTTGTTTTCTGTTATTTTGAAAGTGTAAATGATGGAAATAAAATCTAACTTTTGTTGACATATTATAAGAATGTCTAATCTGTAATTTGATGCCTTTTGGAGATTTTTCCATCTTTCCTTGGCTTCTTTATGCACATTAATACAAATTTTTAGCTGGGGTGCCCAAACTTTCGATCCCCACTGTATATGTGATTTGTGCATTCATACGGATATAAACATAATTGCATCTTATTGATTCATTTTTGGTTTTAGCGCTGCACCTTTACTGATTTTTTTTTTCTTTTTTTTCTTCAGACATGGGCTCACAGAATTTGGTGCAGCTGTGCATAGTAACCAGTCAGCTTTAAGTTTTATTGTCAAGTTAGAAGCTGATTGATTACTATGCACTGCTTGCCCATATTCTGTGTGCACCAGTTTTAGCCCTGGTTCATACTTCTGTGGGCAATGTGACCCGTGTTTGCGCGGGTACAGCAGACCATTAATTTGAATTGGCTGTCATGCCTGCGTTTTCCACAGAAAAAGGTGCATGCACCTTTTTAATAACGTGGCCACAGGAGAATTGCATGGTCTTTTTGCCCATGTGGTTTCCCTGCAGTTCCGGCAAACGCAATGCGGGCTGAGATGCATGGGGGTGTCATTCAGAATGAATGGCAGCTCCGCATATCTTTTAAGAGCAGCAAGATTTGGCTGTGGGTGGTTGTGGGTGCAGGTACAATTGCGGTTCCGGCACCCACAGCCAGCTCACACATTGTGACTCAGGGCTGAGTAAATCTCCCCCAGTATGTGATCAGGTGTGCCATCTGCTTATTTGCCATCTGTAAATTGTGGTGAGCTGACCATGTCCTGTTGGAGGCATAGTGGAATCTAACAACGGTCAGTGGAGGTACAGAGCAGAGAGGAGACAGAGTGGCAGAGCTGATTATATAGACAGTGGGAAATATGCCTCCTCCCTTGCCAAAAGTGGCAGCTGATTGTAGACAACGAGGCGATGAAGAAGAGAGATGACTGAGCTGTGGTGAAAAAGAGGCAAAGTGGCAGCTGATCATGGTCTGCGGATACGTACAGTGCCTTGAAAAAGTATTCATACCCCTTGAAATTTTCCACATTTTGTCATGTTACAACCAAAAATGTAATGTATTTTATTGGGATTTTATGTGATAGACCAATACAAAGTGACACATAATTGTGAAGACGAAGGAAAATGATAAATGGTTTTCAAATTTTTTTACAAATAAATATCTGAAAAGTGTGGCGTGCATTGGTATTCTTTGTAGAACCACCTTTCTCTGCAATTACAGCTGCAAGGGGTGCTTTTAATGTGTACTTGCAAAATCTTCTCCAGTCCGTTCTCACATTGCCACAATCTAATTGAGGTATGTGATGTCCAACATCCAGTAGCCATCCTCGTGTGACATCCTCCTGCGTCTTTCTCCATAAAAGCAGCGGGTAGTAATAGAAGGTATTGGTTTTAGTATTGTTGCCTTTGCATGACTACCAGCACTCATGTAAATGGCCTATTATCGGAACTGGTATTGGTGCAATACTAATTTGTGCAAACTGAGATTTTCAAACCTAACCTACACTAGATCAAGAGCAAGTACAGGGAGTAACTTACAATAGGGCTGTGGACCTGGAGCTTAGTGTCTGTCTCTCAGCCTTTCCTGCCAGTATAGAGCAGTTGTGTGTACTGTCCCAGGTCCATTGATAGTAAGTAACAATATTTCCATTTTTTTTATTTTATTTACATTTTTGACTGTTGTTCCCTGAGATTGTGCATACATTTATTGGCTGAAAAAAGTCTGAGAACCACTGATCTACACTCTTTGTGTATAGCTGGTCCCTTTTCATTTATCTGTTTAGGTCATTTGAGGGATTGTGGGGGAATCCCTTTTCACATATTT